ATTCTTTCTGGAAATGGAGCCAAATATGCAAGTTCATTTGCCTGGAAGGCAATTGTGAAAAACAAGGCTCCAGGAATGAATAGAATACCAATTGAGATGTTTCAACAAATGCATGCAATGCTGGAAGTGCGCACTTGTCTATGCCAAGCAATTTGGAAGACTGCTAACTGACCAACCAATTGGAAGAGATCCATATTTGGGTCCATTCCAAAGAAAGGTGACCAACAGAATGCAGAAATTATCCAACAATATCATTAATATTACATCAAGTAAATTTTTGCTGAAGATAATAAAAAATGGTTATAGCAGTACATTGACAGAAAACTGCCAAAAATTCATGCTGGATTCAGAAAATGACGTGGAATTAGGGAAAACATGGCTGATATCAGATGGATCTTGGTTGAAAGCAAGATGTTTACCTGTGTTTGACTGATTATGCAAAGGCATTAAACTGTGTGTGTCATAACAAATTGGGGTCCTGGTGTGGTGCTGTAGGATAAGCACTGGACCACAAGGTCAATTTGAACCACAAGGCGGATGGTTCAAACTCACCAGATGCTCTACAGAAACCCGATACAGGGTCATTATGAGTTGGAACTGACTCATAAGTATACATTCTGGCTGTACTTCTTCCAAGACATAATTGTTTGTTCTGACAGACAATGGTATGCTCAATATTCTTCATCAACATGATAATTCAAATGCATCAATCCTTCTTCAGTCTTCTTATTACTTGTCCAGTTTTTGCATGCACATGAGGCAATTCAACATACCATGGCTTTGGCGAGGTTCACCTTAGTCTTTAAGGTGACGTCTTAGCTTTTTAGCACTTAAAGTGGTCTTTTGCAGCATATCTGCCCAATGCAGTTGATCTCTTGACTGCTGCTTCCATTGGCATTAATTATGGATCCAAGTAAAATGAAATCCTTGACAACTTCAATCTTTTCTCTGCTTATTATGATGTTCTACCACATTCTCTCAGTCAAAGGAAATTGCAGACCCAGCTCAGAGCAAACTAGTAGACAACTAGGTTCCTCTTCTTGATGGTAGGAGATAAAAGGAGCATTGTAAAGCATTTGCATAAAGAGAGGAGTGAAGAATTGTGGTCATTTTGCAACCAATTTATCACAGGTTTATTGCTTCCAAATGTGGGGAATGGAGTGATTCCGGACAAGATGGCAAAGTAGTTCTGTGTAAAACACAGGTAGCTAAAATGCTTTCATGAAATCCATTCATTTTGAGTGGAAAATTACTTCAAAACAATAATTTAAGTTGATGCCTTCAACTGTGAAACCATCTTATTCATGCTTTTGAAGCTTCTCTCTGGTAATTCATTTATTTGATTACCACCAGCACTCTGCTGAGCATATGTTGTTATACTTATTTTCCTTTTGAGGATACAAAACCCAGAACAGTGGTTCGCAAAGTGTGCATAAGCTCTTATTTTGAGAGTCTGTTAAAAAACAATTTCTGAAAAAAAAAAAAAAGAAATACAATTCCTGGACTATAACCTACATGTATTGTATTAGTTGAGAGTTTGAGTTGCAAGTGATATAAACTGACCCTAGATGATTTAAGCAAAAATCAAATTTACTGGAAGATCAGTAAGCAGTTTACAGAAGCACCAGCAAGACCAAAGAACCTAAGGCTAGGAGGTTTCTGATGAGGACATTGCCACGACCATTGCTGCATAAAGGTACAGCTTAGAGCTCTATACACTGGGCACCACAACTGACCCTATCCCCATCTCTCCCCCATCCTCCACTCCCTGCCACCGTTGCTCTGTAGACTGGCTATTGCTACCAAAGTCAGCCAATGCCACAAAGCTGGGTCCTTCATTGTTCCAACTTAACAACTTATTGGTGGAATCCTACCTTCCAGGGAGGATTAGAAAATAAGTTTCTGCCCTCTTTCTTTCCCAGACTCATGTGGTAGGTAATTCTTCAATAACAGAGGGGGCTTATATCCTAAACAGTACAAAATAATAAATAAAAATGAACTATGTCCATTCTACCCTTTGACGAAAAATCTTAGTTGGAAGATATACTAACACAGAATGATGCCTCATCCATATCCCCCCTCAGTTCTCACCTCCATATGTGTGATCAGTGACTGATTTACTTCAAAATTCATGACTCTGTTCAAGGATTATTTGTCTAGTCATGGAAGCACTTGTCTTGTACAAACATGGCTAACCGGAAGTGCTATCGAGTTTATGCCCTAGAAGTTGCCCTTCAACCAAGAATGGCCACAGAGTTGGTGTGTAAATAACTCAGCTTCCTTGCTCTTCAGCCGGATAACTCTGGTGCAGGTTCTATACTAGTTCCAAGAGTTCCAGTTTCCCACTGACTTCCTTCCCTTCCCTTCCCCTCTCACTCCCCTTCCCTTTAGCAACTTTTTCTGGGATCATGTCCCCAGTATACCTGCTGCACCTGAATTTTTGTTTTAGAGTGAGTTTCTTGGGGAACCCAAGTTAAAATGGGGATACTTTGGTGTTTGAATATTTTAAAATCTCACTTATATGATTCAAAATGTGTTTTCAGTTGTTGTTGTTGATTAGTGCCATCAAGTCTGTTCCGACTCATAGCAACTCTGTATAGGGCTTCCAAGGAGTGGATTTGAACTGCTGTCAAATGGACCCTGTGGTCCAGTTCTTATCCTACAGCACCATACCAGGATTGAGAGAAATGGAGAGATTTACCCAAGATACCACTACTGGTTAAGGTTTTTGCTCAACCTTTAATATAGACCTTTTCTTTTGGTTCTTGGATCAGTTTTCTCTCCATCAAATGATGCTCATGTGAAATGAGGATAGACTTTCATTTCTAGATTGCTTTATGTGATGAGAGAGTTATGAAACAACTAACATAAATATACCCAGTTTCCAAGGGATAATGTCACTAGTGGCTTATTCATTCCTTCTTTATTAATGTAACAATAGTTTTTCCCTTTTGTTTCCTTCTGTGAGTGTTTCTGCCTTTGAAAAGTCTTTGCATTGAATTCACCTCCAGTATTGTTTTGACTGACAATTTTATTTCCATTTTAGAAAAGTTGAAAGAGACAAATGAAAAATGGAATACTTATCAGAAGCATGAGCTTTTATTTTAAAAAATAGAACACATGCATTATAATGTTCAGAAAGAGTAAAGCACTTGTTGTAACCTAATATTAACAACTTGTCTTAATAATTGGCATTGTACAACAATATTTGTGAGTGGAGAAACAGAGGCAGAATGAAATATACAATGGTGGCCCATGATGATTGCCATAGTAATATAATAAGAGCAAAACACACTTTATTAAATAAAATTAAAATAGAACTAGAGGTAAATAATGAGAACTCAAATATGAAAAGAAATGACTAATTTAGGATATATTCTGATAATATCAACAGAATATGTTTAGAGTTGTTATTTTTGCACATCAGTTAAGTTATTGTAATTGTTTTTAAGTGCTATTGTTGGTTCCAACCTATAGTGAACCTGCATAGTGTTTCTGAGGAGCAGCTGGTGAGCTTGAACCACTGACTTTGCACTTCAAACAACTTTGCAGTCTGATGCATTAGTCCACAGCGCCACACCAGGACTCCCTTTTCTCCTTAGTTCCCACTATTTCTTTTAGCAGTTTTCTGCACTTGCTGTTGCCTTTGAGTTGGTTCTGACTCACAGTGACTCTATGTACAAAAGAACAAAACACTGTGTGGTCCTGTGTCATCATTCTTATGCTTGAGCCCATTGTTGCAGCCACTGTGTCAGTCCATCTTGTTGAAGGTCTTTCTCTTTCTGACTTACCCTCTACTTTGCCAAGTATGATGTCCTTCTCCAGGAACTGGTCCCTTCTGAAGCCATGCTTGCTTCTAAGGTGCATTTAGCTATACTTCTTCCAAGACAAATTTTCGTAATTTGTTGTTGTTGTTATCTGCTGTCAAGCCGGTTCTGACCCATAGAGACCCTGTATAGAGTTTCCAAGGAGCTGTTGGTGAGCTTGAGCTGCTGACCTTGCAGTTCAAACTGACTTTGCAGTCTACTGCATTATCCCACAGTGCATACCAAGTAGTTATACTTAAAATCTATGACAACCAAAGTACCTACTTCCAGAACATCTGTAGACTATTAGCTTAGTACAGTAGCATTGGACAGTACTTTGTACTTTGTATAAAAAATATTGGTAGGTCCACTCAGAGTTTCCTTTTAATTCATCATTATCAAAACTAACAGTCAGATGCAGCCACAATGGTGTGCGTAAACAGCTACTCCCAAACTCAGAATGCTGCAGTCCACTGTGGTAACTCTACTCCAATTATCTCTCTTCATCTCTCGGTCAAAGTCAGTGGGATAGTTCATCTTATAATGATGGTAGACCACAGGAGGTTATGTGGAAGTATGTGAGATCGCTTGAGGCCTAGGCTCAGAATTGGCACTCAATCCTATCTACCCCATTATATTTGCCCAGGCAGGTTCCATGGCAGAGTCCAAATTCAACTGGAAAAGAGAAACATAATTTGTTTCGCTACTAGGAGGTATAGTAAAGTCACATGGCAAAGAGATTAGATACAGGAAAGGGTGAAGAAGGACCAAAAATGCAATCAGCCATAGTTATCAAAGACTGAACTGTGAATTCATTAAAAGTCTAAATCTTGTTCATTAAGGAATCGGAGTATCTAGACCAAAGTCTGGCACATTGATTCATTGATTTGCTCAACAAGCATTATACTAGAGCAGAGAATATGAAACCTAGAAGAAAGAGCCCTACCCACCTATCCATACAGAACAACTTCAATAAAGAATTATAGAGAGTTTACTTTAGTAGGGTCACAAAAGAGGACATAGTGGGCACATTTAATATGTATCAAATAAATGCTGAATAAATGAAGGAAGGAACACTAGTTCATGCTGATAGCTTAGGAAAAAGAGATGTGTAGAAATCAGGCAAGCAAAAATACCCATAATGGGGCCCTTGTGCGCCGAGCTTCCTAGGTTGCCTGACGCCCGACTGGCACCATGACGTTCAACCCCTTCTTGACCTCGGACCGCAGCAAGAACCGCAAACGCCACTTCAATGCTCCCTCGCATGTGCGTAGGAAGATCATGTCGTCCCCGCTGTCCAAGGAGCTGTGGTAGAAGTATAACGTGCACTCCATGCCCATCTGCAAGGACGACGAGGTCCAGGTGGTTCAAGGACACTACGGAGGTCAGCAGATTGGCAAGGTAGTCCAGGTGTACAGAAAGAATTATGTCATCTACATCAAGAGGGTGAAGTGTGAGAAGGCTAATGGGACATCTGTCCATGTGGGCATTCACCCGAGCAAGGTGGTTATTACCAGACTCAAACTGGACAAAGATCAGAAAAAAATTCTTGAACGCAAAGCCAAATCTCAACAAATTGGAAACGAGAAAGGCAAATATAAGGAAGAACTTATTGACAAATGCAAGAATGAATATAACCTGTTATGAAACGACAGTTTGGCCCTAGATTTCTAGTCTAGGGTGTGTTCCTTGGAAACCCTTCCAGATGACTTTGGAATATTTCATTTCCATCTTATTCTGTTATTGATTTGTGTCTCTGTAAATCTTCCCTTGCAACTTTGATTACCAATATTATGAATAAAAATTAGAAATGTTTCCTAACTGCAAAAAAAAACAAAAATCCACAATGGGGCTTTAAAGGTTCATGGAAAATTTCCATTATCTTTTCATTTAATTTTCAAACAAACTTCTTAAAGCACCCGAATGCATTGTATATTAGAATAATTATAGCAATTTATATAGGTGTGGAATAAGAGATTATCATTTTTGGTGCTTAAAAGCATCTAATTTTTATTATTCAACTTCTATTTTGTAAGCAGTTTACTTGCCTAGAATGCTAGAACCATTGCTGTGATGACCATGGAGGATACAATTGCTGCAAAAAGCCACAGTGCCTAACTGATCTCTGCTTTACCAGCTCTACTGTCCATGCCCACAGTGTCTGACTGGAATTCCAGACTTCAAACATTATTGTTTCAAGAGACAGTTTTCTCATTTTACAGTGGTATTATAGGTCTGTGGGAAGAAACAGCCATGTTAGGTGCCGTTGAGTCGGTTCCAACACATAGTGACCCCATGCACAACAGACTGAAACACTGCCCCGTCCTGCACCATCATGACAATTGTTGTTACATTTGAATCCATTGATGATGCCACTGCGCCAATCCATCTTGCTGGGGGGTCTTCCTCTTTTTCCCTGACTCTTAACTTTACCAAGTATGATTTTCTTTTCCAGGGACTGCTTCCTCCTGATAACATGTACAAAGTATGAGAGACGAAGTTTCACCATGCTGGTTTCTAAGGAGCATTCTGGCTGTACTTTTGCTCAAATAGATTTTTTTATTCCTCTAGCAGTCCATGATACTTTTAATATTCTTCTCCAACACCAACTCACATGCATAAACTCTTCCACGGTCTTCATTAATCAATGTCCAACTTTCACAAGCATATAAAATTATTGAAAATACCTTGGCTTGGGTCAGGCATACCTTAGTCCTCAAACTATCTTTGCTCTTGAACCCTTTAAAGACATCTTGTGCAACATATTTGCCTAATGCAATATATCATTTGATTTCTTAACTGCTACTTCCATGAGTGTTGATAGTGGATCCAAGCAAAATGAAATATTCGACAACTTCAATCTTTTCTCCATTTATCATGATATTATTTATTGGCCCAGTGGTGAGGATTTTTCAGGGTTTTTTTGCATTGAGGTGCAACCCATACTGAAGGCTATGGTCTCTGATCTTCATCAGTAGGTATTTTAAGTCCTCTTCACTTTCAGCAAGCAAGATGGTATCATCTGTGTATTGCGGGCTGTTAATGAGTCTTCCTCCAATCCTGATACCATTTAATCCTGCTCCTCAGATTATTTGCTCAGCATACAGACTGAGTAAATATTGTGAAAGGATAAACCCTGGTGCACATCTTTCCTGGTTTTAAACCATTAACTATCCCTTGCTCTGTTCAAACAACTTTCTCTTTGTCTATGTACAAGTTCCTCACGAGTACCATTAAGTGTTCTGGAATACGCATTCACAGTGTTATCTATACCTTATGATCCACACAGTCAAAACCCTTTGCATAGTCAATAAGGTAAAGGTAAACATCTTTCTGGTAGTCTCTGCTTTCAGACAAGATCCATCTGACATCAGCAATGATCTCTCTTGTTCCACATTCTTTTCTGAACTTGGTCCAAACCTCTGGCAGTTCCCTGTTGATGTACTGTTGCAGTCATTTTTGAATTATCTTTAGCAAAATTTTGCTTGCATGTGATATTAATAATAATATTTGATAATTTCCACATTCTCTTTGGAATGGGCACAAATATGAGTGTCTTGTCATAGATGAGTGAGTGCCTCCAGGGCTGCATCCGTTTACTGAAAGATTTCAATTTGTATTCCATCAATTCCTAGAGCCTTGTTCTTTGCCAGTGCCTTCAGTGTACCTTGTACTTCTTCCTTCAGTACCATTGGCTCTTGATCATAAGCTATCTCTTGAAATAGTTGAATATCCTCCATACGTTTTTGGTACAGTGACTCTGTGTATTCCCTCTGTTTTTGATGCTTTCTGCATCATTCAATATTTTGCCCATGAAATTGAAAGCTGAGCTTGAATTTTTTCTTCAGTTCTTTCCGCTTGAGAAATGCTGAGCGTGTTCTTTTTTGATTTTCTAACTCCAGGCAGGTCTTTGAACATTTCATTGCAATACTTGACTTTATCTTTTTGAGCTGCCTTTAGAAAATTTCTCTTCAGTTTTTACCTTCTCATTTCTTCCATTTGCTTTAGCATCTCTACACTAGAAAGCAAGTTTATGAGTGTCTTCTGACATCCATTTTGGTCTTTTATTTCTTCCTAGTCTTCTTAATGACCTTTTGGTTTCTTCCTGCATGATGTTCTTGATGTCATACCACAACTTTTCTTACTTTGGCCACTAGTGTCTAACTAGCTGAATTACAATTGAGGAAATGAAGCAATTATTAACTCCAGAAAATGTTGGGTGGATGACATGGCAGGAGATGCGTGTCTATTTCTTGGTTCAGGAGTGAACACACTTTACAATATCATAATGATTTTAAAAATATGTAATATAAATTTAACTAAAGCATGATATAATTATCTTACAAGCAGAAAAGGAGATAGTTCATGTTGTGAAAGATCTAGACTCCTCATCTATTTCAGGAGGAAGTTAATTGCATGGGTTTTCAATTGCTGCCTAACAAATTTGACACAAACTTAGTGGCTTAAAACACCACAAATTTGTTATTTTATAGTCAGAAATCTAGTGTGAATTTCACTGAAGTAAAATCGAGGCGTTGACTAGCTAGGCTACATTTCTTTCTTGAGGACAGGGGGAGAATCTCTTTCTTGCTTATGGAGTTGTTGACTGAATTCAGTTTCTCATTATTAGAGGGTTTTGGTCCCCCGTTTCTGTAACCTGAGGATCATTTTCCATTTTGACAGGCTGCTACATTCCCTGGATTGTGATCCCTTTCTTGATCTTCAAAGCCAAACATAAAAAGGGTGTAAGAGACCTTCTTACGTCATGTATTTTTGACTTCTACTTTTGCCTTTCTTTTAATGATTTATGTGACTACAGTTGGCCCACTCAAATATCCAGGAATAACCTCCACATATTAAGGTCTTTAATTTAATCACGTCAGCAAAGTCTTTTTGCCATGTAAGGTAACATATTCACAGGTTCCTGGGTTTAGGGTGTGTACATCTGTGGTTGTTGTTAAATGCCGTTGAGTCGGTTCCGACCCACAGTGACCCTGTATAGGGTTTCTGAGGAGCACCTGGTGAGCTTGAACTGCCAACTTTGCAGTTCAAATGGCTTTGCTGTCTGGCGCATTAACCGATAGTGCCACACCAGAACTCCACATCAGTGGTAGGTGGGCTTTATTCTGCATACCACAATACCTGATCTCTAACATGGTGCTGTGTGCCGTGGAATCGGTTCAACTCATAACAACCCTGTTCAGGGTTTCCGAGGCTGTAAATCTTTACGGGAGCACAACGTCTCATCTTTCTCCCACTGAACAGGTGGTAGTTTCAAACTGCTGACCTTGCGGTTTCGCAGCCCGATTCGTAAACACTACGCTACCAGAGCTCCTTGATCTCTAACATAGATGAATTAAAAAGACACTAGCTACATTATTTTAAAAAGAAAACAAACATCAAAAATATGTGGGAAAATATGTGGGAAAAGGAAATATTCCTGACTGCCCGTGTGTGCTTATGGGTGTGAAGAGGCAGTTTGAAATAAGGTATTGTCTTTGTTTTGTTAAAGGCTTCTAAGTACTACTTAACTTGTTAAACTACGTATAAGAACTAATTTAATGCAGATTAAATGTAATTATTATGTGTCTGTGGTCAGCTACCAGGCTCAGCTCTCATCTGGTTGTTTGTGATCATGTGCACTCAAACCCACTGCCATAGAGTCTATTCCAACATACATTGTTAAGTGCCGTTGAGTCGGTTCTGACCCATAGCGACTCTGAACAGGGTTTCTGAGGCTGTAAATCTTTACGGGAGCTGAAAGCCTCATCTTTCTTCCACAGAGCAGCTGGTAGTTTCAAATTGCTGACCTTGCAATTTAGTTCACAGCCCGATTCGTAACTACTACGCTACCAGAGCTCCTTATTCCAACATATAGCACCCCTGAATAGGGCTTCTGAGGTTGTACATCTTTATGGACACAGACTGCCTCATTTTTCTTCTGAATCATGGCTGGTGGGTTTGAACTGCCAGCCTTGTGGTTGGCACTCCAGTGCTTATTCTGCAGCGCCACCAGGGCTCTTAGTAGTGTCCTACATAACAACAACAACAACAACGTAACTCTTTGGCTTTCTTCATGCTTTTTACTGATTGTTCTTTAAACAAATTTGTATCAAGGTATTTGTTCTCTTTAACTGCTTCTTTCTTCCATTGATTTAATCCTACTTCTATGTTCGTATATTGAATTATCTATTTCTGATATTTTATTTTTAACGTTCTGGATTTCTACCTGGTTTTGTATGATTGCTAATTATCTATTTATTTTGTAATTTTGTTCTTGTATTTTTTCCTGAATTCTTCTAGGGTTCTTTCTGTGTTTTCCTTGATCTCTTTGAGGATTCTTTTGAGTCCCTTATGAGGTAGATTATTTTGCTCACTTGTTTGAACCATATTAACCTATTTCTTCATATGATTTGTTATTTTCTGCATTAGATGTTATTCAATTTGTTTATATAGTTCTTTTTTGACTGCATGTATGTTTTATGTTGATTTTGTTTGTTTTATTTTGATGTATCTGGGGCTTTATTACTCATCTTTCTCGTTTGAATGTCTTTCTTCCTTTATTTTAATTGTTATTCCATGGTTCTAGTCTATGTGTGACTTTGTTGGTGTCTGTTGACTGGTCATAATTTCCTCTCACTAGTGGA